GGGGGAAAAGAAAATATTTTTTGACGTTTTCCTTCACTTTCAGAGGTTTGGTTCGTCAAAGCTATAAAAGAAAGTGGGGGAAATTATGAGCTGTCACTATATTATTGGTTGATGTGAGTAATTTTTGATGTTTTCCTCCACTTTCCTTGTTTAGATTTTTTTTCTTGTGTTTGGTTCATTCTTAAAAGTTGAGGAAAAAAGATAAGATGAGATGAGATGAGATGAGTTGTCACAATATTATTGGATGATGAGATGAGATGAGTTTTCCTCCACTATCCTTGTTTTTTTGGAGGAAAGTGATGGAAGGAAATTTTAATGAGACGTGATGAGTTGTCACCATATTATTGGATGATGTGAGTAATTTTTAAAGATGATAGAAAACGAAGAAAAGTGGGGGAAAGTGAGTTAGATGAGTTGATTGATGTGACTCATTTCTTGTGTTTTGTTTATTTTTAAAAGTATGAAATGAGATGTGGTGGGATGAGTTGTCAAAATATTATTGGAGGAAAGTGGAGAAAGTGATGAAAAGTGGGTTTTGGAAAGTGGGGAAAAGTGAAGGAAAATGAGTTTCGGATTCTGGGGGAAACGAAACAAACAGGCAAACTAAGGGGCTGTTTGTTTGCAAAAATGGGAAGGGGAAAGCCTGTCAAATCTGACAAAAACTGTCAGTTTTGGCAGGCTTTCTTGCAAAAACGCCTCTAAAAGAGGCGTTTTTGCAAGAAAGCCTGCCAAAACTGACAGTTTTTGTCAGATTTTTTTAGAGGCGTTTTTGCAAGAAAGCCTGTCAAAACTGACAGTTTTTGTCAGATTTGACAGCTTTCCTCTAACTTTCTCCTTCAAAAAAAATAAAACAAACGGGCCCTTAAACGCTAAATAACAACATTGGCGATTTGTCCGATGATCTCACACGATCCAATCAATCCAGTACCGTAGTGCAGAGTCAATAATATATAATCAATTTGCCCAACGTTTGGGTCCCAAATTGGGTCCATTGCGAGATTGTCATAATTAAAATTGCCGACTGAAGCCGGCAACTTAGAACGCAGCGGTCCCTGTTGGGCTTTTATGGGGCCGAAGCCATGAACCGACAATCTTATGCAGCACTTCCATATTACAACCTCCTTTAGTTAAAATACTAGTATGTACCCCGTGCCAAGCACGGTGACTAATTTTTTTATCATTTTATTTTAAATTTACGTCTCTTTAATTTTTAATACATTTGATTTGATTATTATACAGTTAAAATTAAAAACTCACTCTTATTAATGGAAAGGCATCACTTTCGTATAGTGAGGTCACCGCAGCCCTTGTGAATTATCAACTTCGAAAGAAGGACAAGGAGACTTCCATCGAGCCGGTTGCTGGTGCATTGGTTGCAAGAGCTAGAAGTCCAAACCGTGGAAGAAGGTCGCAGTCTAGAGGGGAGCATCCTACAGTTGGTAGGGATCAGTGTGCCTTTTGTAGAGAGGATGGACATTGGAAAGCCGAATGCCCAAAATTACAAGCTGTGAAGAATAAAGGGAAAGCTATTCAAGCTTAAGAGGTGAATATTGCCAAGGCTAGTGGCGATGCTTCAGATTCAGATTCTTCAGTTTATTCATGCCCAGCTCTTCCGTCAGTTGATGTTGCCGACTCCACCGAGTGGATGTTGGATTCTGGTGCTACTTACCACATATGCCCTAGAAGGGATTGGTTCTCCAGCTTTCAGGAGTTGGAAAGAGGGGATGCTGTTCTCATGGGTAATGATCACAGATGCCCTATTGGTGGTATTGGTACCGTTCAGATTCGGATGAGTGACGGGATGATCCGGGAGTTGGCTGATGTGAGGTTCGTTCCTCAACTGAGGAAGAACATCATTTCACTTGGGGTATTGGAGGCATCAGGCTAGTGGGTGACTTTGGCGGATTCTCACTTGAAGGTCACATCGAGGTCCATGATTGTGATGAAGGGAGTCAGACGAAGTAACTTGTATTATCTGCTTGGGAGCACGGTAGTTGATAGGGCGCTGACTACTTCTATGGCTAGACTGTGGCATTATTTGGTGCTGGGATATATTGTTGGTTATACCGTGCACAGATTGTTGAGGAGTGCTATGACCTGCAGATTGAAGTCCTATGAGCACATTGGGATGAACGAGAAGACCGAGGTGGAGTTCAGCACTTCTATCCATCGATCGAGGGGTCTTATTGGAAGTGTTCAGTCAGGCATTGGGGGACTTTCCGAGGAGGCATCATCGGGAGGTAATCGTTATCTTGTTTCCTATGTTGGGGATTGTACTAGGAATATTTGGGTTGCAACCAAGTCCCGTTGGTATAAAGCCCTAGTAGTCCGCAACAGTTGGAGGAGGTGTATGGGCAGAAAGGTTACCAGTCGTACTTGTTCTAGTAGGAGTCCTTTCTTGCATTGGTGCCGAGCTCATGGCAGTTGGAGACACTTCAGAGGAGAGGAGACAGTGGGGCGACATGATGAGATGGCATATTTAGTGGGCCGTTCTTTTCTGGAGGAGGATCGGCGTTGGTTGTCGAGCAGTGGATCTGGTATTCAGGCTTCGACAGGTTTGGGTCATCTTACGAGGTTGCCGACTGCTGCGTATAGAGTTGTTAGATCTGGTGGAGCTGTTTTAGTTTTTGGTTGGCGTCGGATATTGGGCTACCCAGCACTTGGTCACATCGTGGATGTGAGATTGGATCCGATTGCACATTTGGGATTCAGAGGCTTGTTCGGCTATCAGTGGGGAGCTTCTGAGTTTGGTCTGAGAAGGTTTGTCACTTTGGACTCTCGGCAGGTGGAGAGTATTGATCAGATCAGAGGGATATCGCAGCGGGTGGAGGTAGATGCTACTCCACATTGGGTGGGGATTTCCCCACATACTCCAGGTCATTCTGCATTAGTTGGGATTCCAGCTGAGGTGGCACAGCATGAGAGTCATTTATTTATGGGTGCAGATGATGAGGTGGTTGATTTGGATGCAGCTGATGGATATGTTTTGGATACGGCCATTGTTTCATCTCAGGTGGAGGTGTTGGACTGTTTTCAGATTTGGATCGTTGATGATGCTATCAGCCGCAGGTTGGATTGAGGGCCTTTGGAGGCCATTGGGTGAACTACGTGAAGGCTTGATTCATTGGAGAGGATACGTAAGCAGTCAGTTTTCTGATGCAGCCGATTTGGTGAGTAGACACAGTTGGTTTGGGGTTGAGTGTTCGCACTGTCAGTTTTCTGATGCAGCCGATTTGGTGAGTAGACACAGTTGGTTTGGGGTTGAGTGTTCGCACTCCCATTTGGGTCTCGACGTGCTGTGGATGGAGTCCGTTGTCATGAGTCCGTTGCCATGGCGTACTGGATGCAACAGTTGAGGCATTGGTTTGATCGGTGTCAGCTCAGTTTGGTAGAATCTTCACCGAGGTGGAGATTTGTAGAATTAGCAGAATAGTTCAGAATCAGGCAGACTAAATGGCGG